ATATATTTTAAAAGAATCTATTCTCTTCTTTTAAATAAATCATATACTTTCGTATACTGATATACCACCCTTATAGAAATATTATACTAAGAATCATTGATAATTACTTATTATCCAGTATTTTTAATACTGAAAATAAGTAATTATCAATGATTCTTAGTATGATATTTCTATAAGGGCATATGTACACAATATAAAGCGTCTCTCAATCAAAGTGACAGTGACGCAGTAGTTAAGGTGAACGACACAAGAATCAGCCCAAGTAACAGACTCACGTCAAAATGACGTAAAAAACTGATCATAACTGGTCGAATGACGTCAAGTGATTAAATAACGACGTTTTTAAAACGTCTTTTTTGTGGAATCTTATTGACGTTTCTGTATAACGTCTTAAAAACGTATTATTGACGTTTAGAGACGTCATAAAACGTCATTAAGTCGTCTAAAATGTCGTCATCGATCTGTGACATTAGATTATCATTTTGACGATATTCTCACGATATTTTTAATAGTTCCTTGGTTATTTTTTATCCTGAGCTTACTTAGATTTGGATGTCATTTTGACGTATCTGCTACCTGGAAGAGGTCTCAGGCTCGAATCTCAGCAATGCCCATACAGCACAGAAGCTTGCAGCAACATTGCTACAGCGTTGCAAAATTGCACATTGCAGTGCAATGTTGCAGAGACTTTGCAGTGACATTAATTTGCAATATTACTTTAGCAATATTTCAGTAATATTTAAAAAAATATTACAAATATAATATATTTTATTTATTTACTAATTATTTTTGTTACTTGTATTTCAAATTCAGTAATGTTTTACATCAATCCCGCACAGCATTTTATATTTCATATACATAGCAGATACGTAAAATTTGAAATATTGCTATATAGCAGATATGTAGAAATACGTATGAATCGTGTAGCAGATACATGTTTAATACCGATGAATGTCCGCGCTTAGATACGTAATTTACATTACGTATCAAATACATATTCGCTACATATAACAATATGTATTCAATACATGTTAAATACGCAAATTATATATATCAAATACATATCCGATACATATAACAATATATATTCAATACGTGTTAAATACGTAAATTATGTATTTGATACGTATTTGTAATATTGTAAATACACGTTTAAAACGGCCTGTATATTATATATACCTTAGCGAAAATATTTATCGGAGCGTAAATCAAATGTAAAGAAAGAGTGATAGAAGCATAAATAAAACTTCCAGGAAGTGTAAATTGGAACAACATAACATAAAAAAAAACGTTTTAAGATAAACGTCTCTGTTATATTACTTCATGCTTCTAGAAGTTTCGTTTGCGTTTCTGTCAATTCTCTCTTTAATTACGTTTGACTTTCGTTTCGATTTTTATTTTTGCCAGTATATGCGTTCACATATCCATACTATACATATATACATATATATATGTATAAATAATATTCATGCATATATTATTAAACATGAATGTTAAGTTTAAAGTAATAAAAATATATTTGTACTAATAATATATTTCTAAAATATTAGTATTAGCATTTGGAAATATGTTATAATATAAAGTAATATAAAGCATTATTATTATTGTAAACTTAATATTTATAGTTGTTTCTAAAACTAAATAAAATAAAAGATTTGAAAAAAATGCAGACATATAACACACGGTATTTTTATAGATACAGTATTTTTAATACAAATTGTTCAATATCATTTTAATACAAAAATGGAATGTTTTCACATTTTAAGAACAAATAAATTAAACTCACTTTACATTTTTATAATGTTTTAACGCAAATAAAATACCTTTTAGCATTTTTAAAAACAAAAGTTAAACTTATTTTCACATTTTCGTGATTTAACGCGATTTAAAATAAAATACTTTTTAGCATTTTCAACGCATAAATTAATTTAATCATTATAAGATTTTACATAAACTTGAGAAACAAAACATTTATATATGTTACGTCTTTTCGTTATAGTAAATAAAGAAAAATACCTGAATATCAATAAATAAAAAAGACGAATCTATGATAATATAACGTACGTAGATTTTCTTACATATTAATATTTTCTTCTTGAACATGTGGAACTTGAACTTGATCAAGATGATCAGGATCATCCTGATTATTTTGGTTTTTTTGTTTGTTTCTGAAACAATCAATTAATGTAATATTTAATATGTAATACAGTTATATATATATATATATATATATATATATATATGAAAATACAAAAAATATAAATAATTAAAATTTGTAGAAAAAACTATAATTGCAAGATATAATAAATGTTTCAATATTTGATTGAATATGTGTATACCTTTAATATAATAAAAAAATAGATAACATAAAAGATTATTAGGAATAAATAACATTTAAAAAAACACCTTAATTGATATTACAGAGAATTTTTACAATTACTATTAATATTTTTAAACAAAAATAAATATAATAAGTAGTTCATTTACGCTATTCTTCGAACACGTGCAGGAGCTTGAACTATCCAGTTTGTCATAACTTTTATTATAACTTCCTCGGTTGAATTTGCATTGTGTAACCGAACAACAGCTATGCATATCAATTTATAATATTATATACATCATACATTGACTTAAGCTGTAATAACACTAGCGATTGAAATTGAAATTAGATTGAGATTTAACCAAAGCAAAATTTATTGAACTTGATATTAGTTTTTCTTCTTCTGATGGTCAAATTTCATTTCAATCTCAATTTCAATCGCTAATGTGATTAACACTAATGACTTAACGTTGTGTTCTAATACAATTATTTCTGCTGATCATAATATAACTAATTGATACTTATAATTGTTTCGTCTTATGCTGATCAGTATTAAGAAACACAGGAGTCAACAGAAGCAGTTAATTTCAAAATATAACGATGTAAACTTTAAAGTTCTTTTTTTACCTATGATTAAACTAACAATTTTGAAATTTCGGAATTAATTTTTTCTCGAGCTCCTTTCCAACTATATAACATTAATATTTCGTCCTTTATTAATGCTTTAAATGTATTTTTTATTGTCTTGTAGATTTGTCCCGCCTTTCAATTTCAAGAAACCTTTCTGAAATAATTTGCC